ATCCAGTATCTGAGGGGATGCCACAAAGAAGAGGGGGTCAATTTATTTTCCAAAGCACCAGAAGGCAAGACAAGAAACAATGGATGGAAACTAATTAAGGAGAGAAGCAACCTGGAATTAAGAAGAAATTTCCTAACAGTAAGAACAATTAACCAATGGAACAGCTTGCCTTCAGAAGTTGTAGGTGCTTCATCACTGGAGGTTTTAAAAAAAGACTGGATAGCCATCTGTCTAAAATGGTATAGGATCTCCTGCTTGAGCATGGGGTTGGAATAGAAGACCTCCAGGGTCCCTTCCAGCTCTAGTCTAATTGTTTGATACATAAGTCATTATTAATCAGAGTTGCTGGGAAGTTAATGCTACTGCATCAAATGCACATACCTCCAGTTCGGGAGTAGCTCAACTTTCATCCCCACCCCAGAAGCCCTCTGAAAGAGCTGTCTTTAGAATAACCCTGTGACCTTTTGCTATAGGATGAAGATAAGTATCATGCTTTGCCATACCTTATTTAGACTGGTTCTGATGCAATGCTTTTGTTTTTGGAGATACTTCATAGCAGCAGTAGGAAATAAGCATAGTTTTCATTAAAAAAAAAAAAAGAATTAAAGCAGTCCCTCTCTTTTTCCCCTTTCCCTAATACTACTCACTTCAGTTCACTTATATAGCGAGTGGGACCTATAACAAGAGAAACAGGAGAATTAGGCTTTCTGAATGTTCCCTTGATTATGTTGATCCCCCTCCTTAATATTGTTTGAAATGGGGAAGGAGGATGAAAGACATTCACATATAACAAATGAAAAAAGGGCCTGAAACACTTGAGCCAAATTTCAAAAATGTATATACTGTAAATACAGGCACATGAAATTATAATCTACTTATTGGGCCATAGACAACAGTCTCAAAATTGGCTTGAAACAAGACTGAGGCTATGAACAGTATTGAGTGAACTGGTTCCGCTGGAGAACCTGTTGCTCTCCAATACAAGATGCTAAAACTGTTGCATAGAAATTACATCTTTGAAATAATGTCAACTGAGAACATTTTGCTTTGCTTATTTCCTATTATTGTAGCCCTCATACTTTTGCTTGGACCTTCCCAGAAGCCATGCTTCTGTCAAAACAAGGCAGGCAGTGAAATGGTGACAGGAATGCTGACAGCTTTAGTGAATAACAGCAATGACTTAAGTGGCTGTTTACTTGGTACAGCATTAAATAAAGGATGTGAACTCACCATGGCAACCTTTGCATCACATAGTTGTCATGCTGCTTCTAAGAAACAGCGAACCTTCTGAAGAAACATGCCTGAATGTTTGAGGTACCTCTATCACTTTCACATTGCCACTCAATCCATAATCTATCATATACTGCTACAAGAAAGTGACAATTTATGGTCAGTGCCCAGTGCCCACTGCCATTCTAGGTCTGTTTCGGAAAAAAAATGTTTCTGGAATTTATTTCATATATATGTGTGTCCATATATGTAGAGTTATAACTATACCTTCCATTTATTCTGATTGATCTGGTAACTGAAATCTGTGCTTCTACCTTCTGAAAAGTCATATTCTAATGCACACACATATACATTTAACTCAGACTTGCAATTTTTCCCTAGATAATGGGTAGCTTATATACTGGAAGAAACCTTTCTTTCATATGCAGGTTTCATCATATGGGTTTCAAAAAATGCTAAGAACTTTTGCCATTAATTAACTGATATGAGAGACGACAGCACCCAGCTATCTTCTGGGCTTAGTAGTTTATTAGAATTAGATCTGGTTAGATGGACCTCATTAGGAAATTCCTAATTAGGAAATTAGGAAAAAGTAGCATGCATATGTCAAGCCCAATCCAAGTGATATTCCAGATGTTTTATTTATTTATTTATTTATTTATTAGATTTTTATACCGCCCCCTCTCCCGAAGGACTCGGGGCGGTGAACAGCCAAAGTTAAAAACATACAATATAAACAATTAAAATACGTTTAAAACAGAATTAAATCTAAAATGGCTCCCCAATTTAAAATGCCTTACCCATACCCCTATAAAAAGACGAATTTAAAATTTAAAAATTTAAAATTTCCACATTTAAAAAGGGGGAAGATTTAGGCCAGGCCAGCTTGATAAAATAGAAAAGTCTTAAGCGCGCGGCGGAAGGTGCGCAGATCCGGGATCCTACGTATCTCCGGGGGGAGCTCGTTCCAAATCGTAGGTGCCCCCACAGAGAAGGCTCTCCCCCTAGGGGCCGACAGCCGACATTGTTTGGCCGACGGCACCCGGAGGAGCCCCTCTCTATGGGAGCGTACTGGCCGGTGGGAGGCTATTGGTGGTAGCAGGCGGTCCCGTAAATAACCAGGTCCTAAGCCATGGAGCGCTTTGAAGGTGATAACCAGAACCTTGAAGCGCACTCGGAAGACCACTGGGAGCCAGTGCAGCTCGCGCAGGAGAGGTGTCACATGGGAACTCCATGTCGCTCCCATCACCACCTGGATTGTACCTAACGTGCAGTGGTGAAATCCAATTTTTTTTACTACCGGTTCTGTGGGCATGGCTTGGTGGGCGTGGTGTGGCTTGGTGGGCGTGGCTTGGTAGGGGTGGCAGGGGAAGGATACTGTAAAATCCCCATTCTCACCCCATTCCAGGGGAAGGATACTGCAAAATTCCAATTCCCTCCCCACTCCTGGGGGAAGGATATTGCAAAATCTCCATTCCTACCACACTCTGGGGCCAGAGATGGTATTTGCTGGTTCTCTGAACTACTCAAAATTTCCGCTACTGGTTCTCCGAACTGTTCAAAATTTCTGCTACCAGTTCTCCAGAACCTATCAGAACCTGCTGGATTTCACCTCTGCCAAGGTGCCTATTTACTGTTGGTACTATATTTGACGAGCCATGGTGGCATAGTGGTTAGAATGCAGTATTGCAGGCTAACTCACTGCTCACTGCCAGGAGATCGATTCTGACTGGCTCAAGGTTGACTCAGCTTTCCATTCTTCTGAGGTTGGTAAAATGAGGACCCAGATTGTTGGGGGCAATATGCTGACCAGAGGTGGTTCTGACCAGTTCTGGAGAACCGGTAGTGGAAATTTTGAGTAGTTCAGAGAACCGGTAGTAAAAATTCTGACTGGCCCCACCCCCATCTATTCTCTGCCTCCCATGTCCCAGCTGATTGGGAGGAAATGGGGATTTTGCAGTAATCTTCCTCTGGATTGGAGTGGAAATGGAGATTTTACAGTATCCTTCCCCTGCCACACCCACCATGCCATGCTCACCATGCCATGCCATGCTCACCAAGCCACACCCACAGAACCGGTAGTAAAAAAATTTGAAACCCACCACAGATGCTGACTCTGTAAACTGCTTATAGCCCAGAGAGGGCTATAAAGAACTATGAAGCAGTATATAACTCTAAGTGCTATTGCTATTTTTTGCCACAGTCAATTCCATTTCTATTTGCAAGTCTTTGCATTTTATGATCTTCTGCAATTTTTAAAGGTCAGATATGGAGGAGCAACAACTGATTTGGGATACCTAAGGAATATTTTACTTCTGGATCCCAAGTAGACATCATACATTTGATGGGTAGCTGTACCAATTGGTTTTTTTTTTTTTTTGCCCAGAAAAAGCACAAAAGGAATCGGGGTGGTAGGGAGAGAATGGCAGAAGTATTTTGGTATTCTGGTGCTTTGTAATTGGTTCTATCCCACTTGGTAGCTATTTAGTGCTTAGGTATATTTACCCAGCAGCTATTTTGTCAGAGTGCTCACATATCCTCAAAATGGCAAGTTTGTCATCTAAAATGAAAACATTGGGATTTCTATGTTAGTCCTGTCAAATACAGATTTATTGCAGAATTATAGATTAGAAAATCTGTATCTCATCTTACAAATATTCTAATTGTCAAATAACTATATGTGCAACAACGAAGGATTTTAATCTAGTACAGAAAACTAAAGTATAACCACCCATACTTTAAACATATGCCATCACTCAATATTCATTAGTCACAGAATCATGAAAAGTCAGTTTAATACGCTTTTCATGAATCCTTTATTTTTGCAATTCTATGACAGAAAGGGAAATGAACAAAGGTGAGACTAAATAGTGGGAAATACTTTGGTCCTCAGCAGTTTGTTCTGGGAATATTAATATGGCTATGACTCGTGGTGTTTAGGCTTAGCCTTGGAGTATATTGTTTGGATACAGATCGAAAATGCAACTGTACAAAGCTTCAATGATGCCTCTTTGAAGCTACTCCATGAAGCAACTTGATCCCCAGTTCTAAAGATCAAAGCACTCCTTCAAAACTGCTCCACAAAGCAGTGCAATTACCATATTTTTCGGAGTATAAGATGCACTCCCCCCCCAAGAGGCTGAAAATTTGGGTGTGTCTTATACTCCGAATGTAGCTTTTTCGAAGCTTTTTTCAGCCCTTGAAGCGATTTTCTGATTTTCCGAGCTTTGCCTGCTCCCTCTGACTCTCAGCTGTGCTTCAGAAGCTTTTTTTCAGCCCTAACGAGGTGCTAGCGAGTGAAGCAATCTCAATGCTTTGCCTGTTTTTTCTCATTGCTGCTCCCTCTCAGCTTTGCTTTAGAAGCTGTTTTTTATCCCCAAGCAGGGGATAAAAAGCATGTGCGCGCACTCAAAACCAGCAAACTAATGTGCTGAAGCTGACCAGACTGAGGACACTAGCTGGATGAATACCTGGTAGGCAGATTTTTTTCCCATTTTCCTCCCAAAAACTAAGCTGCGTCTTATACTCCGATAAATATGGTACATACTTTGTTTCACTCTGACCTTACCCAGGATTCTGTGTATTTGCTGCATACCTGCAGAACTCCTGGCATTTCTAGTGAACTACTGGAAGAGCTGGAAGTTATCATAGCTTCAGTGAGACAAACTGTGTGACAAGGTGAACAGCATTGCCTCCATAACCTAATGTTTCTCTGAGATGGACTTACAACTGCCTTGAAAAATTATAATATCTACAAAGCTGTTACTTACTGGGTATTAGACAAATAACTTGCAGGTGTGTGGATGTTTTTAAGGCAACTAAAAGGAAAGATCAAGAAATGATGTCCAACTGTCACAATTCATAAATGATTTTAATATTCATGTTGAGTGTATCCCACTGGTCTTGCATAAAACTATACCATTAGACTGGCTGAATTCTCTTGAAAGGTAGAACATGAAGAAATAATTTCCTGTTATTGGAGTGTTGTTATATTCTGCATAACAATGTCTTGGCCAGGTATTCTTGGATTGTGGATCATGATCACCCCTGGGGACACAAGGAAATTTGAAAAGATTACAATTGGGGACGTCTTGCTCTCACAAAGCATGATCACTTCTAGAACTTGTTTCCTCACTCCTTGGGCAAATGGACAGTTTGGACGATTGTCCAAAGTTCACAGCAAATTCTAGCAAGACTCCTACTTTCCATGCATAAGGCTCACAAGGCTACTTTCCATGCATAAGGCTTTTGCAAACCTAGACTGCTCTCAGAACCCAGTTCTGCTCAGCCTAGTGAGAAGAATAGCAGTTAGGATTTATAGAAGTTCCAGCTATAAAGAGCAAAGATAATGCCAAAACAAATGAGGAAGTTATAGATGTCTCAAAAATAAAAGTTGGATTATAAGAACTATGCCGAAGTATAAATCAAATATAAATCAAATATAAATCAAATTTTTGAAAAAAGTAAGCAAGCTCATCCTTCCTATTAAAAGTTACAGTTTTGTTGTTTAAAATCTAAAAAGTGTGTGTGTGTGTGTGTGTGTGTGTGTGTGTGTGTGTGTGTTATATGAACTACATTTTCCCAATTCAGACCCCAATGAAAACATTGGGGGAGGGCACATAAATCTATTTATTCATATTTGGAGATCATAGCAACTCAAGGTTTAAGATGCCTTGTCTTCCAGCCACCCTTCCTCAGGCTGAGAGCAACCCATCTATACTAAATCCAAGAATGGCCACCGATGATGATGAAGAGCAGAAGACACATTGCTCCCTAGCGCTCCCTCCCTAAAGAGAGATGCTCTCTCAGGCAACGAGCCCGGCCGAGCTCGGGAGGAGATCCCCACTCCTCCAACCGATCCTAGCGTTCCTCGCGGCCGACCCTATCGCAGACTCAAGGAGCCTCACATCGACACACCCCCTGTAGCCGCGCGCCGAGGAAGGTACTTCTGACAGCTGCCCTCTGCCCAGTCAGCCCGAGAGCCCTTTCCTGACGGAAAGGAGGAAGAGGCGAGGGTAGCCTGCTGGCCTGCTCAGTCGCCGCCACGAGCCAAGGTGTTCCTTAATACCGAGCCGTTCGCCACAGTCTGGCTTGGAGCGCTCGTGGCGTATCCGCCGTCCCTGGAACCTTTCGGCGACCCCTCCTCATAAGCGGGTACTTTGCAGATGTGTTCGGCTCGCAGAATATCTAGCCGTGCCCGCAACTCTGAGGCTTGGAGTCCAAACACGTCTGAAAGGCAGCGGCTTGACGAGGGCGAACTGACTCAGTCACGCCTGCTGAATGGCCCCTGCCTTTGGGCCTTCTCGCTTCGGGGAAAAAAATTAAAAAGCGGCGCGGGTCAGTCCTCTGCAACCAGCTCTTCGAGATTGAACTCGGGTTGTTGCTCACCCGTTGCTTACCCTTAAGCCACGAGCGAGATCTGAAGAAAGTTTTCTAGCCTTAATCGGAGTTGCAAGGGACTGTATCCAGTCGTGCTTTATAGCTGTTAAATGCACTGTATAAGTAGGCGCGTTTAATTATAAACCTTCTGAATTTCTTTTTTTGATACAAATCAGCCCCGAGTTGCCCGTCACCGTTGCGTTGTTCCTTGCTTTGCCTTCCTGCACGTTGTTCTGTCACTCTGCCCCTCTCTCACTGTATTGTTTCCTTCTCCACCCCATTTCAAGGTCCCCCCCCCCGCCGGTCTGCCTTTCCAGATCGGCTGCAACGCTTCGCCGGAACAAAAGCTCGGCCGGATCGCTCCGACGGCGTGCAGCCGGGTGTGTATGTGTGTGTGTGTGTGTGTGTGTGTGCGCGCGCGTCACCACCTCCCCCCGTTTGCTATCGACGTAGCTGCCATCCGCTTCAGCCACCCTCCCTGGCGGGACGATTTGAAAAGGAAAAACCAGCGCGGTGTTCTCCCAATGACGCGCAGCTGCAGGTCGCCCGGTATCTGCCGCTCGAGAAGATCACTTTTCTTACCTGGAATACTGGTGGCAAAAGGCAGCGGCTTTGGGGTGAGCTTCAAGGACCGCTTCAGGAGAGCTTTCCGTATACTTGCCGAGATATTGTCAGGCGCGTCTGGTTACGGGAGACCCTTCGGACCAGAAGTTGTACTGCTCCGGAGAAGGAAGTGTGAGCAGACACCCTCCACCTCGCCCTCCTTTCTTTTCGTTCCTCCTTTTGACAAAGAGTCAAAAGAGTGGAAATTTCCATCATGTGACGGGGTAGCATCCCCAGCCGCTCCTTCCAGACAGAACCCTCCCTTTCGGAAAATGCCCACCAATAGCAGCCGGCAAGCAACTTGAGAGGTTAAACAAAACATTTTTTAAAAAATTGTTCATCGTTCCAAACTCAGGTAGCGATTTAGGGGACTACTCTGGAAGGTAAAAGTGCAACATACCCACCCATTAGACACGTTGAAGAGTTGTTTTTGTTTAATTTTCGGTTTTGCCAATCATCCAGGTATGCTCTGGAGGATCCACTCCAAAGAAAGCAACTGGAAAGATTCCATTCTGGGGCTTGTGATTTGTATAGGTTACAACCCTTTTCTTCATCTATGAGATTTTATAGCTCCCCTTCTCCCACCTAAATTTTAGTCAAGACAGACTATCCAAACTGGAGATTGCAAAAATGTTTTTTTTTCTTCTTTTATAGGTAGTCTTCAACTTACAACAGTTCATTTACAATGTATAAGTTACAACAGCACTGAAAAAATAACTTATGACTATTCTTCACATTTATGACTGTTGCAGAATCTCCATGGCCATGTGATCAAAATTCAGACACTTGGCAACTGACTCATATTTATGATGGTTGCAATGTCCTGGGGTTATGTGATCAGCTTTTTCCAACCTTGTGACAAGCAAAATCAGTGGGGAAGCCTGATTCATTTAACAACTATGTCAATAACTTTATAACTGCAGTGATTCACTTATCAACTGTGGCAAGAAAGATCATAAAATGGGGCAAAATTCACTTAGCAACTGTCTTGCTTAGCACCATAAATTTTGGATTCAATTGTGGTCATAAGTCGAGGATTACCTGTAATGACAGCTGCCAAATTCAATGCCTCCATAATACATCATGGACCGAAGAAGAGAGTTCCTATCTAGTTTCCATTTCCTTCAGTTTCTGACATGCTAAGGCAACCTTTTGAACTTGCACTGTGAAGTGGTATATAAGTCTAAGTGCTATTGCTATTGCAGTCATTATAAAAGGGGAAAACCACTGGCTACTAAATAACTTAAAAGACATTAAATGTCTGAATGACCAAGCACATTTTGTATTTGGTGGATATAAACTAAGTGATAGACTTATAGATTTTGATGGTTGAATTCAAATGCCTGACAGAATTACTGAATATCAAAAGAATAAACATGCTAATTTGTTGACTTTGATTCCATGGAACACATTTGAGTTATAATACTAGATGGAAAAATTTATCCCTTTCCCCATATTCAATGTTTTGATGAATATCCCCCTATCTTCTTTCCCTCTGCCTCAGATAGATTCAAGATTTGTTTTTTTCCACCATGAGTGGAGTTCCACTAGTAGGTAGGTAATTAAGCAGGATGATTCATCTTGCTGCCTTTGCATCCGGAAGTTAGGCTTGCACAATCTTGCATGTAATTCATGTTTGTTTGCAAGGGCCCCTTCAGATAAGTAAAACTGAAAAGTCTAAATTCTTTTGAATGTTTTCCAGTATTAATGTACATTATAACCCTTCTTCTGTGTGGATAGAAATTTGTTTTTTTCCTAGTTCAGTTTCCATAAGACATCCTCAGAATATACAAATAGCATTCAAATACTTTTTCTCTTAAAAAATACTACCATTACTATCAGCTGTAATTAGGGAGCTACCTTTAATTCCCCCCATACTTCATATTGCATAGATAGAAATTTTATCAGGCATTAAAATATTCTGCTTCTTTATTAGTATTTTATCTGTGTTTTCCCCAACATTCTATGATCTATAACATTGTGAATAACCTTAGCTTTCCTATTTTTAAAATGAATATTCTACCAGTGTACACACTCTTGCTTTACTTTGTTATAGTTTCTTGATGATTCCTAAGCAGGTCAGCTAATAAATTATCATGTATTCATTTATGTGTCTAATTCAGAAGTAAGTTGTATAGAGTCTATCCACATAAGTGACTATATTCTCACTATTTATGTAGTACTTTTATAACAAAGAAATTCAGGTTATCACAATAATTGTTATAAAACCCTGTGAAGAGAATCAACATTTTAATGCCCAGAGTTCATTGCAAAATTGAACTTGAACTTTTGAATTTTGACTTCTTATTAAGAGGCCTTGATTTGTGAGCAATTTTAATAACTTCAGTTGATAGATTCTTTTATTCCTATTGTATTTACTGGTTACTTTTATGTCTTTTCTTTTACATTTTTATTATTTTTTATTAATGTTACTTTTACCTCAGTTGAACCTTTTTAGAAGGTAGACACAGACATCCTAAATGTAAATAAAACCTGGAACTTGCCAATCATAATTCATGTTGTATGTTATGTTGATCAAGTTTAAGGAGGTCTTAGGTAAACTGACTTCTTCATTGGAAATGGGAAAGGGATGAACCATGACTTCAATGTCATCATGTATTTGCTTGAAGGTGAGATGCAAGTACATAATGTCATTGTTGTGTCACCATGGCGAATGCTCTGTAACTCTTAGCTACATTACTGCAATTCTTCCAGGTTTTCTTGTATTTGCACTGAGAGCTGGGAAACCTGTTTCGGTTTCCCCAAAACAGCTTCAATGTATCTTTAAAAAAATAAATAAAAGGAGGGAGGTGGAAGATGAAGGAAAATATTGATATGGGATCTTTGAGTCACTTGAAACTGCTTGTGATATCATCATTCTGCCTGAGACTTGGCTATACACTGATCACAATAGTCAAGCCAGGTTACAAGTGGAAAATAACTATCCAAAGTTTTTGTAAGTCATTTATAGATCAACTCTTAAATATTTATTTATATATTGGGGTAGTTTTTTTTTAAATGATCAGTATATTGCTTAATATAATAAATCTATATGGTCTGTGTTGGAATATATTAATGGTATTGTATAAAATACTTCTGTGTATCATACTCAAATGCAATATTTTCTAGTAATAGAAATGCTACTGGAGTAATATTATCTGGAACTCAAAATACATTTTGTGATGAGCTCTAGTTCTTCACCAAGTACTGTTTAATTGGCCTGGTAGAAATCCATTTTTGTTTTCTTTCTATTGAACAGAACAGAACAGAACAGAACAGAATAACAGAGTTGGAAGGGTCTTTGGAGGTCTTCCAGTCCAACCCCCTCCTTAGGCAGGAAACCCTATACCATTTCAGACAAATGGTTATCCAATCTCTTCTTAAAAACTTCTAGTTTTGGAGCATTTACAACTTCTGGAGGCAAGTTGTTCCACTGATTAATTGTTCTAACTGTCAAGAAATTTCTCCTTAGTTCTACGTTGCTTCTCTCCTTGATTAGTTTCCACCCATTGCTTCTTGTCCTACCCTCAGGTGCTTTGGAGAATAGCTTGACTCCATCTTCTTTGTGTCAGCCCCTGAGATATTGGAACATTGCTATCATGTCACCTCTAGTCCTTCTTTTCATCAAACTAGACATACCCAGTTCCAGCAACTGTTCTCTATATGTTTCAGCCTCCAGTCCCCTAATCATCTTCATTGTTCTTCTCTGCACTCTTTCTAGAGTCTCAACATCTTTTTTATATTGTGGTGACCAAAACTGGATACAGTATTCCAAGTGTGGCCTTAGTAAGGCATTATAAAGTGGTTTCATGTGATATATTCATGTGATCTTGATTCTATCCCTCTGTTTATGCAGCCTAGAACTGTGTTGTCTTTTTTGGCAGCTGCAACACACTGCTGGCTCATATTTAAATGATTGTCCACTAGGACTCCAAGACCCCTCTCACAGTTATTACTACTGAGTGAGGTACCACATATACTGTACTTGTGCATTTTGTTTTTCTTGCCTAAATGTAGAACCTTACTTTTTTCACCATTGAATTTCATTTTGTTAGATAGTGCCCAATGTTCATTCTGTATCTTAAACCTATCTTCTGGAGTGTTGGCTATTCTGCTAGGCAGAATAGCCAACTGTTAGCTATTCTGTTGGTGTCGTCTGCAAATTTGATGAGTTCCCTATCTACCCCTCCTCAAAATAATTGATGAAGAAGTTGAAGAGTACTAGGCCTAAAAGAGAGCCTTGGGGTACCCCACTGCATACTTCCCTCCATGTAGATGCAGTTCCATTGAGGACTACACACTGAGTGTTGGTCAGACAGTTACAAATCCATCTGCTGGTGATGCTGTCTAACCCACCTTTTTCTATTTTATCAAGTAGTAGGTTATGGTCTACTTTATCAAACGCCTTACTGAAGTCCAAGTAAATTATATCAACAGCATTCCTCTGGTCCACTAATTTTGTCATTTTGTCAAAGAATGTAATAAGATTCCTGTTCCAGCCTTTTGCTATTTACCAGCAACAATTCTGTCTCTATGACTTATAGCCTGAGTTCTGAAACTCAAGTGTGTTGTGTGTGCATGTTTTTACTTATGCCAGAAAAAATATATCATGGAGAATCATTCCCAAGTCAG